TTCTGCCCCACCATCAACCTGGACAAGCTGTGGACGCTGGTGAGCGAGCAGACCCGGGTCAACTACAGCCAGAAGCCCGACGGACCCGCACCCATCATTGATGTTGTGCGCGCGGTGAGTGTCTGTGCCGCTTAATATGTGTGTGTGTGAGTCTGAACATCACTGGCAGTGTTCGTGTGTGTATGTTAGGACCCCCAAAACAACAATGCCTGTGACTGGAGACCCCCCCACACTCCTCTGAGGTGGAAATGTTGCGTACACAACAATAGCCCTACACACACACACACACACACACCAGCATACTGACAACACAAACAAGCTCAGCTGTCTAATACCCACATCATCATCATCATCATCATTACTGTAGTCATGTATTAATGGGGTTATTTTAATGTTGCCCTCCTCTAATGAGGCTGCTGGTCAGGGTTTCAGCACAGGTCATTGTGGAGACTCCATGATCCTCCTCAGGGTTCAGATGTGGCCTGAGTCTGTTTAATGTGTTTGAACACCGTAAAGGTGTCAGTTTAACCTGCGGTCTGCTCTTTATATAGCAGTTAGCTGGATTTGGTTATTGATTATTTGACATGGTCCAGGACCGTGGTCATAGCAACAGTTCTGGTAGCTCAAATATATATATATATATATATATATATATATATATATATATATATATATATATACATATACATATATATATTTTACTGATATTTTCTTACAGTAGTTATATACACTTGGGTAAATGTTTGTGTGTGTATGTCTATGTATGTTTAAAAAAAAAAAAAATTAGTAAAACTTATGCAATCTGCACTCTAATGGCCAGTTTCCACTGAGTGGTTTGGTCCGCTTTTATGGCCGTTTCCACTGTTAAAAGGCGTACCGAACCAAACCATGCCGTACCACTTTTTCGGCACCCTTTTAAAAAGGTCTTAAACACAAGAAAGGGTTCTGAAGGGTGGAGCTAGACGCGCAGCTGAACGCTAATGGTGTACAGAGATGCGTCATTCGCGTGCGCAACAAGCCAGAATGTAAAAAGCACCCGCCATGTCTGAAATACACAGCGAGAGATTGCTTGCGTTCGCCGCGCGTCTCTATCTGAAATAACAGACTTCTTGAGCTGATGATAATAACGTGCGCTTGATTATTGACCAGCTGTGGAAACCCGATCCTGTGAGAAGCTGACAAACGCGAGAGTGACGCATGCAGAAAGTAAAGGACGAACGCGAGAGTGGAGCACGCAAGCCAAGCAGCACGTCATTTCTCCAGCAAACGTGAACAAACTGCCTTCCTTTAATTTTAGTCATCACCTTCTGGACTGATATGAACTGGGAATGATGGAGTGACTCTAACAGAGGCTTCATGTGCTGCTGAAGATTACACACACTGATGAGAGGTC